ATTAGCGTGAACATGACGTCGGCGTTTTTCATCATGAGGGATATACGTGCCAGACGAACGAAGCACATCTGGAAATTGAGAGAGACAGCAAGAACTACGCAGTAACACTGGATCAGCCCCTACCCGTGCATGTGCAATCAAAATAAATTGAAGGCCACGTAATATATTCCGATTTTAATTAAGTAAGTACCTCTTTATTCTTTCTGCTCTGTACGAAGATGGTTGTTCAAAGTTCAAAATATCACCCGCACGCTCGAAATCTTTGACAACAAGTGCCCGATAAAAGCTGCCCTGCAGAGAAAACAATACGAAGAGACGCCTTTCATAGCCAACGAACTTTATTCTTTACGTTCGGAATGTTTTTATCCGCTCATGTACAACGGGGTCATTCTCATAGTGACAGGACTGGCATATTACCATTATGTAAGCGTCACCAGAATGCTGGCGAGCCTTGAACACAATCTATATTCGTTTCGATTGTAATTTTGCTATGAATCGTGGCTTGTCTTTACACACCTGCTGCGGAACGCATGTTTGGGACTGAAATGTTCCGAAGTTCAACATCGTTCACTAATGAAAAAAAAAAAAACGCTAACTAAAGCAATTACACTTTTACAATACTATTCGGTACAACCGAAATAACCAGTGTTTTGTGTTATTTTTCGGCGAAGAGACAAAATGCACGCGCGTTTTCCCATAGGAATGCACAGGAGCACCGCAAAAGTAGACTGGTTGCTGTCTGCTTCAATTTGCGTCACGGTAGTCGCATAGGCAGTAGCGCCAGTTGAACCTCTAGCGTACATTATAATAACTCTATGGGTGCAGGTAAACAGAACGAAGCTAAAGTTGCCCACGTGGTGCTGATGATAATGATACTACGTCACTCTGAAGTTTTCGGATGATAAACAAAGTCAATAAACCGAAACGATGCGTGTGCGTCACTAAGAAAGGAGATGAGTTTCAAGCCCCTGGAAATGGGGAAGGGCTAGTTTCCGTAGACTGGGGTTGGCGCTCTTCCATGTAGACGGCGTTTTCGAAAAACACGGAAGGCCCCGGTCGACGTTGGCGGAAGTAGACTCGAGCTACGATGGCTGCCACGACGATCAACAGAAGAGACAGCAGGCCAAGTGATACTCCCAGAGCCGGCGATACGGACCCTTCACAGAAACGAAAGATGGGGATGGGGAATGAAGAGAACACTGGTGAAATTTCTCTCTTTCAATTATGCGTGGAATGTTGATATTATAGCCAAATCAGTGAGGCGATACCTGCCATGTATCGCAAGAAAATTTCACGAGAGCGCACAAACAACTTGAATTTCGTTAGTTTACTTCATTTCGCGCGTGTCTGGAAACACTTTGTCTACCATGTATTTGTAATTTTTTTAACTGACTTTCTTGCATGAAGCCATGTAAACTAAAAATATATGGCTCTTAATGTTGACCTTAGCAAAGGCTGTTTTAGAACACCCAGAAGATTGTTATAGAAACAGGTAAACATACTAGCGTGCTAATGACATCGATTTGCTGCAATAGATGTATTAAAACGAGATTTGCTACTCTATGGAACGTAGTATATTCGAAAGAAAGTTAGCAAACGAAGACTGTGGATTGTACACAAAGGTTCAAATGGTAATGCTATTCATTGAACAATTGCGTCATACTATGGAAAGGGTCGCACGTCCAATATCATGGAACTGGATGTTAATTTCGGGAAAGGCGTACAAATAATTTGTTCTTCAAATATTTGAGGATGATATTTTTAGGTTTACACCTTATTAACAAGAATTACCCTTTTTAATATCAAGCTGGCCGAGTAAAGTTTAAGGAAGATAATCCAGACCCCCGAGCTGATTATAAAACATCATAATCTCAACCCCGGGCGAGACACGGTAATACAGGATAACGGAATACACAACGCAAAGTTTTGTGTCGTGTTGTCTGATATTTTTATTCCTCCCGTTATAAGATTTTGAATTATAAACTAAAATATTCTTCGTTTTATAAAACGCTATTAAACGCTTTCTAATGCACGAGCTCTAGTTTCAAAATTTCTTGAAAAAACTTCTGCCAGTACTCTCGCTGTTTTCCTTTTGTTTGTTTACATAACTGGCTTAAATAATCAGAATGAAATTCACGAACTTTTCGCGTTCCAGCTGGGCACCAAATTCGAAAACCAAAATCCAATATTGCGTTATCGTCATCACACATAACAAAAATCAATAATTCTATGAAGTTGACATACGTCTCAGTGGGTCGAGCATCTTAGCCAGTACTGATTACAACAATCGACAGTTTCACACGCACTGGTGAGGAGAAGGGCAACGCACCATTTCGCCTTAGCATAGAACCAAACTGAGGGCACGGGTGCGATATTCAAAGCCTTTAAACGCGTTCACCTTCTACAGCCGCTCCATGAAGCACATTTCATACTTAGAAGCTTTTGTTCCCAGACTTTCCACAATACATGAAAACTGTGGACGGTTATGGTGACACCTGCTATGAGACTCTGAGGGCTCTAATAGCATGTATCAAACTGACAAACGCATCAAGCTACTTTAGCTGTTCTCGCGGTTCCACCCTACTGCTCAAAGGGCTCTTTTCCGCGTGGCTCAATAATTTACTGTTGTGTCCCGAATCGCAAGTCGACATCGGGGAAGACTTCCCCCGTGCCTATCCACCAGCTGCTCAGAGATGATTCGCTAAGCACCGCGGGAATGAAGAGCATACCAAGAAATAACTTTGTTCTAGACTATAAATCTCCATCTACAGTTGTGGGCAGCAGGCACTTTAAGCTAGGGCATAATGTAACGGGATACCGCATAAACAACTTAGCCCGAGGAATTCTTCTCGCAGTGTTCGACGGACTTTCGAGGGACCTAATTCCTGCACCCAAGAAAACCCGAGGAGAACCCATTCTGAAGCAGTCGACATTCACGCCGAAAAGCAGAAAGCGAAAAGCACATATGTTGGCTCCCCAAAAGGATTGTAGGCAGACCGAGCAAGCTTAACCAAACGGCTCTTAAAGGGGCTCTGCAAAGACTTCTTTACTGGTTTTTAATTTGCACCGAACCTGAGCGCACTGAACGTAGTAACGTGGTGAAACTTTTCTTTTCTGGAAATTCGCTTTATTTTAAAAGTTATAGGCAAATTAACATTAAAAAAACAAGCAAAAAAATAACCTCCCTCATGAAGTCCTTGGTTACTTGGGTGGCCGTGAACTAGAGGAGGGGTAGTGGGCTCATCGCGAGAGCTCACGGCTGCCGCACTCCGTGTCGACGGCGCGAGAGGGCACTACTAAAGCATGTTCTAGCTAGGCTGTATAAAGCGGGCACCCAGACCGGCCCTCAATGCATTTGCTGCGCGATTAAACACTAATTGGGCATGACACTTCATTGGCCACAAACGACAGAAAACACGGGGTAAAGATCAGTTCAGAATGGGGGCCACTTCGCGCTGCCATACTGCGAAACGGCCAAACCGCAAGACAAAGCTTCTCGCCGAAGACGTTCGGAACGCTCGGAGCCGGTCGGATCCTCCTGTCTATACGACCGCAGCGCCGCCGCGTACATCCGGGACCTTTCCGTGCCAACGCCTGATCCCACTACTACTTTCTTGTATGCGCCGCCTTTTCCACCGCTTGGTGGCGGGTATGTCGACGGGTCATTTCTTGTTTCCATACTTTATAAACTGCATTCGTTTCTTTTATGATTTAAAATACTGAACAAAAACTACTTTAATAAATAATTAAAACGGTTCACGTCACTTATATTTTGTATTTCGACTAAAAAGGAGCTTTTAACGGCTCTGATCAGTAGTAAGCCCAGGACCAAAGACGTCACATTTTGCGCGCTTTCGGTACCGCAAGTCGCCCTCGTTGGTGGAGGAGGTTTCCGCGTTGTCCGGTTAAAATATGACGCAATGATATTTAGTCACTCTCTCCATGCCCGCTGACTTGCCCGAACTTCAAGAGACGTGGAAACCGCAAAAAAGGTAGACGCTTAAATATGACTGCAGGGCCCCCTTAAAGACCGACGACCAGTTCGCGCTTTCCACTTTCCTCCCGATTCCCTTTCTCGCCCCCCCCCCCCCCCCCCTTCTACCCTGTCCACCGTTGCCTGTGAGCCCACGGTGAAGAGGATCTTCTGCCGTGCAGAATCTCGAGTCTAGTCGTCGGCCTTTAAGCACGCGCTCCCGTGCTTTTCACGGCACAGTCAACGAAAATTGTCCTCGAGTACAGTAGTGACGCCTCCTACGGTCGCGCTGCGGCATAGCTCCCACGGCCCCTCAGCTGCGCTTCCAGTCTACTCCGCCGCAGTGCCGCATTGCAATCACCGGAGAGACCGCAAAAGAGCGAGCGCACATCCAAACCGGTGGCAAGTTCAATCCCCGTGAGTCCAAAGGTTTGTGTCACTACCCAATTATGAAAAGTTTCGATTCCCCTTTTCCGCGCTTATCGACATCAGCTTGCGGTAATCCACGTGACGAAAGGTGCCGAATGCTATAAGGTAGCATTTCTGGCGATGCTTTATCAGCCTCGCTGGCGTGTTAAATACCGGCTTTCGATTAGTTTAATTCCAAATGCGTCGGGTAACATTCGGACATTCAACATTCCTTCAATCGGGAAATATGATTACAACCGACTTTGCTAATTGGATGATGCCGCAACCAATACGATTGCCACACAATGCAATAAGAACGTCGAAGAACGAATCCCAAAGCAAGAAACGTGAACAAAATAGGTCACGCCCCGCGTTATGTAAGATGTCGCTCACTATAGTGGATGCCTTAAATCTCATTCAAACGAGAACGGAATAATTAAAAAGTTATTTTCATGATAAACACGTTTTTTTACGCTTTACACAAACTACAAGGAAATCGCACCGCTCACTGAAAAGCTGCGCGAATCTAAAAAGAAAATAAAACGCTGAGTTTACATATTCCTTTCTAATGTGAGACAACGGGCAAACGTATATTTGTTTAGAGACGTCGGCTACTCACCAGTGAGTGGACTAGATTGGCCACTTCCTGAAAGAAAATTTGAGATATATTAAACAGCTATAGATACACTCTATTGTTGCGTCTTTAGTCATTGTTTAAGCCCATTCTAGACAAACACCCTAGATAAGCGCCCCTAGTTGAGAACCGACGACCAGTTCGAGCTTTCCAGTTTCCTCCGCTTCCTCCTCTCACCCCTTGTACCCTGTCCTCCGTTGCCTGTTTCCTCCTCCCTCAGGGCGAGGAGCATCGTCTGCCTTGCAGAATCTCGTGTCTGGTCGTCGGCCTTTCACAAGTACTTGCACGTGGCACGGAAGGCGGCGAACAAGTGTGTTGCGCAACCAAAGCTCGAAGAACGCGCGTGAGTGCCGAGGGAAACCAAGTTATCCTAAAGGGATCCCGCTAGTTCTCTGATTTCAATTTATGCCACGCCGCTAATTCATCGTACACCCTGCATACGCTGCCTCAGATATGTTTTTTTGTTGTTGTTGTTTGCATGATGGTCTTGTCGCATTGGTCATGAAAACTGTCTGCAGAGTGGTTCCAAGCATACATATTTATCAAGAAAAACATGATTGAAACATGATTGTGGAGTATCCGGACTCCGGAGATAGTTCTGACATGATGGCTGCTGTATGATGTACGAGCGGTGCGAATGCGGCGTCATGGTTTCGTCTTTTTAGAGAAAGTCCCTAAATTGTGAACGTCTTCCCCAGTTGCGTGCGGTTTCTGCTTTTATTTTAGCTTTGGTTGGGGGAGGGTTCGCGATAAAAAAAGGACAGAAGAAAAAATGTATGCGAAAAAGAGAAAGAAAAAAAACAGAGGAGGATGAGAAAGAGAAAACGAAACAACGAAAAAGTTATCGAAATATCTTATTTGTATCGTTTTCGGTAATTCTTTTTTTTTTCTTTCTACCACACTAGACGCTTGAAATAAATACATCAATGGATAACCCCGTAGCTCGAGACAGCCTACGTTATAAAACAAATTTGTGCGTTCACTTTCCTGCAGAACGTAAGAAGACAACCAATCGCGGCGGAGAATAGAAAGACCTCGGCCAATCACAAAGCTGGAAATACGATTAGGCCGAAGGAATTAGGTGCGCTCAGGAAGAGTGCGCAGGAGGTTTCGCTTGCACACATCGCATTGTTTTAGGCCTTATCGCTTTCAGAGCATTATCATTCACTGGGTTCCTCATTCCCCGTGATCTGCTAAAAAAAAAAAAAAAAAAACTACATATGCTTTTTTTCTTTAGCGATATATGATTATTACCTCGAAAAGCCAGCCGACGGATCCGTAAGGAGCAGTTAAACCAGGTAAACAGATGTGTGAACCAGCTTTGTCAATGTACAAGGCGGGCCATAGCAGGCAATCTCACGATCGCCAGCCCATGCGCATTACTGTGATAGATATGTATGGCATCAACCGCCAGCGGAGCACGTCACTCTACGTTCTGACCAAGAGATGGAGAGGTTTACTGTACTCAAGTTTTTCAATTATCTTTTTAATGTAATAGTTAGAGCCGAAAACAAAGTCTAACGCACGGTTCATATATCCTAAGCTACAAAACGTAAAACTTAACAGTACTTAGAGAAAAGCGTTTCATTGTCCTTTTTATCTCTAAAACATTCAAACATTCCCTTTCCTCATATTATAAGGGTGCTCGATTTTAATTTCAGCAGGTTTATTTAAAAAAAAAAAACTCCGTGAAGGCTACACTAATCCGGTTTGTGGAGGCGAGTTATATGGCTAGGGAAACATAAATAGAAAGATAGTGGTTACGATAAGTCGAATAATAAACTAAAATATGTGAATTCACTCTTTAAATATTGATAATAAACATATGGTTCCAATTAAAACTTGCTGAGCATCAATAAAAATTCCTTAAAGGGGCACTTCGGCAATTTCTTTATGGTCCCCGATTCGCCTGAACATTTGCTGAACACAGTAAGAAACATGGTTCAAATAGTATCCCAACTATTAGGTTAAAATATATATTTTTTCACGAAGATATTAAATTAACACTTTCGGTCCTCACCATGCTTTTCAAACTGAGTTTCTTTTGGTAACAACGAAAAAGTGACGTCGCCGGAAGGCCGGGGTTCACTCTTTGGACTGTAGATTTTGTTCCCAACAAACTCCAAGCAGTTTCATGGTGTCTGATAAATGCTTTGGAAGGCCGGCCCAGTGCCGAAGCGCCAGCACAGAACAAATGCTTGACATATTCTATTTATAAAACTGCTTGCTCGACTGATAAGACGTCACGGCAATGAAAAGTGCGGTTATATTTGAATTTTAATTTTCACATAATTTTGATTGGCCGATTTCACAATAACTTTTAGGAATGTCACGATACTAAATAGCATACCGGAAAGGGTGCAAGCCGGGAATTCAGAAACTATATACAGTTGAGAGAGTCCGAAATATCGCCGGGGTATTCCTTTAGGCCGGGGTCACGCTGCTTGTGCATAATACAAAATACAGTCTGCATGGCATACAGATTCGAACGCGAGTCATCGCGAGATCCGTGCTTCGAATGCCGCATGGCAATGAGTTCAAGGAGAAAACTTGGCACGTGGCATTCGAACCACGGATATTGCGGGGACTCGTGTTTGCAGACTGTCTTCTGTATGATCTATGAGCAGTGGAATCTAAACTTTATTCAATCAATGTTAGAAAGTCTTGGAACACGTGGGAAGCACAAGTGAGCGCCAAAGTTACCTTTCGTGCAGCAGGAGCAAGGCTAAGGTTCGAAAACTAGACTTTACCAACACCCCCCCCCCCCCCCCCCCGGGCCGTTTTTGTCAAAATCAGAGAAAACCAATAAACTCCAAATCAAAACTGTTCTTCAATGAAAAAAAAAAAATATTGCGGTGGCTTAGCTCGGTTATGTCAGGATATAGGTAGCGTGAGCTTATGCGCACAAAATGAGAGGCGCTACCAAGCGACTCCGGTGCAGCGTCAGACTTGGCTGCTGCGCAAACGGAGGCGCACAGCTGGGCACACGGCGGCGCCAGTGCGTCTGTCGTGGCTATGACGTCACTCCTCTGGAGTGCGCAGACCGGCAAGGCGCACGCGGTGGTGGCGGCGGCTCCGGCGCACCAGCTGTGCGCCGTGTGACGTCACTGCTCCCCGCGCATGCGCAGCACGGAGCATGGCTCATTATGCGAGCCACGTGAAACTGCTCAACCTCGGCCAGTGTAGCTCACGCTACGAAAAATCTTCTCCGAGGGAAGACTATATTGGTCTACAGCTTTATTCCTTCCTGACCCGAAAGACAGCACCCCCAAATGGGCTGTCCGGAAGGCTTTTCCTTAGTTCGGAACCGCACATCTTATTCCGTTTTTTTTTTTTTGTTTTTTTTCTCGATCGGAGACGGTCTTTAAGTATTTGGGTAACGCGTAAGTTCCCCGGAGGTTGAACAATTCCATGCCATATGTCCTTTTTTTTTCTTTTAGATGGGCCCTGATAAATTTTGATTTCTTGGCTGACACCGAAAATTGATACCGAAAACACCGAATCGGTGGCGAAAAAATAAATCCCTAAGAATCGTTCCGGAACTTGAACAAAAATAAACCCCCAAAATGCGGAGCTCTAGTGATAACACGCCCACGCAGTAGTTCTGTCTCTTATCATCCGCGTTTATGCACCACTAGCATAGCATTGCGGTTGTTGTGCGAATGGTAACTTTGGTGCAACCCCGCTCTTTTTAGGCGCTTCAAATCATACTAATATTGACTGATTTACTGGTTTTCGATTACGCTCAGCGAGTTGCTAATTGTAACCATATATTTATTTCCACTAATTTCAAAGGCAGTTATTAAAAAAAATGAGCTATTCGTTTGACTTATTGTGAGGATTTGCACTCTATATTATATCTCCCTGACCATATAACCCACCTGCACAAACCGCATCACTGTACCTTTCACGGATTTTTTTAAATATGTTATGAATAAAATTAAACACTCTGTATGCATTTAAAAATTTACTACATTTCCTAGATAACAATATGTTATCGAGGCAACAAATAAGATAGATGGCCTGTGTGCATTTTAATAAAAACAAAACTTGTGGTGTTTTATAATGGCCTGGTCTGTGACTTGGTCTATTCTTGCCCTTGTCCCCCCCCCCCCCCCCCCGGCCCCCTTTTGCAAATATTAAGGTGTGTGTGTAGGGGGGGAGGGGGGTAACGCTGTTACATCGCCACTCTTACCCCCTTGTCTCTCTGTAGGCCCACTCAAACCCTACAGGTTTCCAAAAAAAGAAAAAATAAGTTGACAGAATTAAACGTCACCAGGGATCTCGTGGATGTTTAATTCCTTCCATTCATTACCGACACTTACATTAATGTCAGTGAGCATTGTACCGTGTAAAACGTTTGGTTCATTATTAACCTCATGGTGTCGTAGTCTAATCGTAACTTTTAATTACATCCCGCCAACTGCTATGATGAGTACTGTGGAATTCAAAATGTGGTGTGGTATTGTGCATGTTAAAACACTTCTAATTTTGAATAACAATTTCTATTTCCACTCCCGAATTAGTTCCTCTCTTTACTGTAATGCCTCATAGCGCTGCAGGTGTCAGAATAAATAAATTGAATAAATAAGAAAATCACCTTGTTGATGTCCGTCCGGAAAAACTGAAAAATAAAAATGAAACAAATGTGCATAATTACGTTAATCATTATTCGGAAATGGCCGCTCGGTTTATTTTACACTAATGTTGACGTCAGATACTTTACGCTGAAAACATTCTATTCGGCTGACGTAGAAACATTTTTTAGAACACCGATGGGGAATAATTACCTGATGCCTCTGTCCCTCGAGCATAACCCTGAAATCTAAGGACGTCCGCGTTAAATGTAATTTTACCGCGCCAAATTAAAATGGCATGCGTGTGATTTTTGTTCCAGCTTGACTTGAAAATGGCCATCATGAGAAATGTATGAAGGTCGTATATATATTCGTTGGCGCACTTAAGCACTGAGCGCTTCAGACAAGTCAGCATGTAGAGGAGAGTTTCGTAACATGAATGACTCATACGGATCGAGGTCGTTAACCCAGTGGGAAATTCGAGTAAAGCTCTCATGCTATTAAACGGCTTACCTCTTCTCGGCTCTTTATCAGTTCAGTTGGAGTTTTAATTTAGCTGAAACAACAGTACAGCTAGAAGATTTAATTTTGATAAAAAAGAAATTTGGTTCAACATGTCACTTTGGCTGGAGCATACACCTTAAAAACAAATTGCCAGCGACCTTTGCCTTTGAAGTCCTAGAATGCATGAAATGCGTGACAGAGAATTGGTGAGGCAATTGGTGTTTCACATGGCGTGTATTTTCCCGCTAAATTTAGCGGGGAAACTGAATGGTTGAATAGGTCACTTGACATCAGGTCATTTGACGCCGATTTACCCCGCTACCTGACGTCACCATATGTCACGTGACGACAGGTGAGGTCAAATGACGCCACCTTCCTGCCAAATTTACTGGGGAAGGCTTTAATAGGAATAGTCGACTCACAATAAATCCTTCTCTATATTTTCTCGTATTTCGATTTAAACTAAAAGATTTTATAAAATTAATTAAAAACTTATTCATTAGCATTTAGTTCTTGCCATCGTAAATGGAATGAAAATAATATCAAAGATTTTACTGCGTAAGAGCGCAATGGGGGGCCCACCTGAATGCTATCCAGTGAATAATATTTAAGATTAAGAAACTTATACACAAAAATTAGTGAAACTATCTAGCTCATCAGATGATTGACACCCATACAGTTAGTAAGTTTCGCACAAAGTCTGCAAGTCCGAAGCCATGTCTCTGGGAGAAATAAAACATGATGGCCGATTTGGTCTTCCATAGTTTTTTTCTCAATATCAGTTTTCACATTAAAGGGATGCTGAACCGAAATCTGGATTCCACGAAACACGGCGGCAAAAGCGTGCAACCGGATGCTACAAACACCAAAACATCACTCATTCAGCGATATCTTAAACTAATGACCGTATTTTTCAAAAAAAGAAAAATGAGACGCATTTGACAGATCTGTATACGTCTTTGTTTCTCCGAGAAGGAGAGGGAACGGCCTAGCGTCTTTTCCGCCTCGGCGCCTTGAGGGGGCGAAGCGAAGAGAGGGGGAAACGAGATATCGTGACGACACGCGCCTCGTCGGCCTCGTTTAATCTCGACCTCTTTTTCCAAAAATACGGCCGTCGATTCGAGTTATCGCCTTACGAGTAGTGTTGTAGGGATTGTAGCGTCCTGCCTACAGCTCCTGCATTGTTTACTGAAATCCAAATTTCGGTTTACCATCCCTTTAACAAAATCTCATGATCAGTTCCCAAACATATTGTCGATCTTATACCAAAAGGTGCCATTAAATCTTTGCATGCAGCGTCCTCATTTCGAACAACTGTAGTTTGAATTGTTCATTTAAAGTGGAAAAACGCAGGTTATAAGATTGTGGTTAAGCGATCTAAAGCTTGAAAGGGAATTGAACACTTTAGCCTGCACTTACCCTTCTTCGCACTCATTGATACAAGGTTATTCGGGCAAACGAAGAGGCCCAGGACGAACAAACTGAAACTTCTACTAGCATCGAAGATGCAAGCAGAATTGAGATTTCTTCAAATGAAATGTCTATCAAACTAAAGCTGTAAGCAGACTTAAGAATTTCGTCTAAATTGAGACCTTACCCAAACTGAGATCATCGGATTGCATACAATAGCCATGATCGGCACCTTGATACAACAGCACCCTTACCCTTTCCCTTGCTAGAAATTGTGACGATGATAACGTCTTGCTTTAGTTTTCGCTCCACTACAACGCCCACGATTATTCCACCGCTTCTTTAAATGATAGTAAAGGATAATACCGTAACCCTTCCTATGAACCTTTTCTAAGCGGGCGCCGCCATCTTGAATCTCGGAACTTCCGGTATACGGGAAACATCATTTTAGTCTCGCCACACTACTGAGAAAACTTCACGTTTTATTCGCCACTTGTCTACCATTCTTGTTATGCCTTTTCTATATTATTTTACTTGCTTCAGGTTGTAATGCTTCCTTGTTTTTTCTCCATCCCGCATACTGGATTTGTTAACGACGTGGTCGGGGACAAGGGTGAACAAAAAGAAAGAGTCTAGATAACGATGTCCTACTAGATTTTCGACATTATCTAAGGTCAAAAAGAGCCACAATGCTGCGACAGTGTTTGGATGTGATTCGTTTCAGGGTGATGGTAACACCCCAAAATGGTGCTCTCAACAACTGTGAGCCAATTGAGCGAAAACGTATATGGTTGGCTAAATATAAGTGTGAGGTCACGAAATGTAAAAAAACACTTCACTTAGTGTTCAGCGCAGCTTATATTACTTTCCCTCGAACACACCACGAGCACCACATGATTTCAACAGCAAAAGGACAACTCAATTTACTCGTCTCTTGGAGGCCTGTTCAAACATAGACCACTGTGCTACCTCAGTGAGATAGTGTTGACTTCGTGCTGTATTAGAGATTCGTACAGTGCTGACAGAGCGCTACATCAGCGCTAAGTTACGTTCCAACAAGTGCTGTATCAGCGCTGTTCCTAGTGTAATTTGAGCACTGCGATGATATCTGCGGACCGGCCTTCAAGGTACCGAAAAGTAGTCGCTCTCATTTCCGAAGCTGGGGCTGTTTCTCGTGGTAGGCAGTCTGTTATCGCTTGGCTAACGCCATCCTTCGCGGGTGGGTTGTAATTGGGATTTTTTTTAAAACAAGAAATCAGACAGAAAATAAAGGTGGGCTACCTTTTGGGAGAGGGCTCGCTACCTGGCTGGATTAATTATCTTCTAGAACATTCCACGATTAAAAAAAAACACATGGCTGAAATAGTTTTTACGCGATGATATTTAGTTCATGATCATAATTACAACCAGACACGAAAACATTTTAACTATGATATTATAACGCATGTCTGAGGAGAATTTTAAACCAACAATGTGTGCAATTTATGTGAAACTAGAATGGATAAATAAATTACCACGTTATCAGTATAATACTAATATTATAAGGTAGCTTCAAAAGCGGCGGTCACTTTTCAATTTTAAAGCAGCACGTTAAAAAGTCGTACAAGTAAACTTGATTGGTCAGCAACTAACATCCATTGTGTTTTTTTTTTTGTCTTCCTTTGGTGTAACTTTTCATGCAAAGTTTCATTCATGTATTATAAACTTTAAATATACACTGTATGAATATATTTAAAGTGAGAAAATCATGTACCTTTCGCAGCTGCGCAGATAAACGCATTCCTGACACTGCATTTGATGTCGTTCCACAGTGAATCGAAGTGTCGAAGCTCGACGCAGTTCTCGTCTTTGCCGTTTGGCTCCCCTTTTTGCCAGTACTCGAAGTCCAAAGGTGAACCATCCAGCCATTCGAAGGTCCCTGCAAACAGTCAACGGGGAAACTCACGAGACAGCGGCGGCATATCCCCCTCCGGCAGAGATCTTTATTATAATAGTCACCGAGAAAATGAGAAAAGCAGGCATCTCTTTCAGGTGCGCAGCCTCCTGCACGCGCTCGTCACCTTCCATCGTCCTTTGTGTGCGGATGCATGCCTGAGGATCTCGAGCCACCGAAGCGTTGTCGAAGGCAGAAAGTTCGTACTGGAGGCGGGACAACTGAATGACCTCCCAATGGTTCTATACTCTGTTCACCCTTAAGCTGAGACTGCGGCCAAAGCTACAAGTGCGAGCAAGGACGCGCTCCTGGCTTTCAGACGGGGATTTCTAGCACGAGTGCTGGTTCTGTGGATGAACGCTTCAAGCAACGACCTCGAGCTCTCATGCTTGTGGCATCGGCTGCGGTCTCAGCTGAAAGAAGCGGTGCAACAAGTTTTCTACTTTGCGCAAATACAGCTTAGAGCGGATTCCTGGCGTTAATGACTTGTGAAACACCCCTTCGTTTTTCACCACACGCAATCGAAGTCGCAGAAAAAAAAGTGAAAGCCGTTTACAACTCCCTGTAACGCCGAATTGGAGCGCAGCTCCTGAAGAGGAAGAGGGAAGGGTACTGAGGGGAGGGTAGACCCCTCCTCCTTCTCCTCCTCCTCTTCCTCTCATTCTTGAATATGCTCCGGGGGGGTCACCTGATCTCGGGGGGAGGGGGCCATGTGACCTCGGGGGGGGGGGGGGGTGTCACGTGACTTCGGGGGAGGGGGAGATCACGTGACCTCGGGAAGGGGGTCACGTGACCTCCGGGGGGTCAAGTGACTTGGGGAGTCACGTGACCTTGGGTGTCACGGGACCTTGGGGGTGACGTGACTTGGGGATTCACGTCACCTTGGGTGTCACGTGACCTTAGGGGTCACGTGACCTTGGGGTGACCTTGGTGGTTCACGTGACTTTGGGGTGACCTTCGGGGGTCAAGTGACCTCGCGGTTACACCGACGGCGACGGCGACGCCGACGCCGCTCAAGCCGGAGACGGGCGCCTAAGAGCTGCGCTCTAAAGATAAAGAGAAACCAGCAGCGTTCACCACCTCAGCTCGCAGCCCGAACAAGTGGCTACGTGATATGGAGCCGATTATATGCCGCCAAAGTTGATCATAACCACGCAGTGGGGTTGGCAAGGCACAGGACACGCTCGGAGTTCCAAACGCTGTTAGGTACGGCTATTGTCGTCATTGCAGCGATTGGACACGGGCTTGTGCCCGAATGCTTCTCGAGCTATCGATTATCCCCAGCCCAAATCGAGTGTTCACGCGATGAAAGGGCTCAATATATGAGCCATAATCAAATATCGTCACTGGAAAATACTGCGATCCTCCAGTTAAGTCATCAAGTTTCGTGAAGGAGAGATTGAATAAAAGTGCTCGAATTTGGTCCGTGGAATTTCACCGCAACAAAGGAGTTTCTTGGCCAGTGGCGTTTCGTGCGAGTATCCTTGAGCCCCACCTGTGCCAGTAAGCTCATGTAAAGTGAAAGACATTCCAATTAAACATTGTTACAACGCCCCTTTAAAGGTGAACGGAGTATGATCCTGTCAGTGACCATAATATTATCATAGCGACGGCATAAACTTTCAGAAAGAAATAGCGACTATTACAGGATTGCATCAGCTTCAAGAGTACGGATGTTCTCTCCCTAAATGGTGCTCAAACAATGATCCTCTCCTTGAACCTGTCTAAACCGAAAGTAATGACATATTCCCGGAAGACACACATGACTTTCTACGATTACAGTTGTAAGTGGAATGAAAGATCTTGGACTTGAATTTGATTCGACTCTGAGATTCGCAAGTCACGGAACCAAAGATGGTCCAGTGATCTCTGTACAGGTTAAGGCTACTTCTCGCATTTGCGTTTGACTGTGTTCAACTGCATTGCGTTCATTTGTAGCCGTTTAACACACTAGTAGACAGGCACTATCTATCGGTGAGGTCCTGCAACACTTCCGACCGGTGTAGAACTAAACAGACAAGATTTTGCAGCATTTCCTGGATGAATGCGAAGTATTAGATCTAAAAAACTGCCGCTTATAACATTGTCAGAATTATTACAAACCGATGGTAAAATAGCGATATGAATAGTGATATGTAGAACATTATAAAAAATTATGCGTAGGGTCCGAAATGCTCCAGGGCTGGCCGATAGAGCGCCAATAAGGTAGGCGGTTACAAGGCAATGTTTCCCCTTGTAGCACGTCGCTGTGATCGCTCTTCCACGATAGGCTGAATGCTGACTATGACGTCAGCATAGGATTTTCCATCGACGGAAATAAGAGGAATGGAAGAACTTCAATTTTGACGGTGTTGGAAGGTTTGGTTTGAGAGTGCTATGATTTCAAGCTTCCACCATGCCTTTTACAAACACCTTCAAACTTGTTGTTCACAAGGTAATGACGTCACGAAAGGTAACCAAAGGAGGGCGCCAGAGCCGTATATGTAGAGAGTTTGGTCAATGGGAGCCGCGGGCAGAGCCAGGGCGTGCGGCAGACTCGGAAAGAGGGCTTGGCATGCTCTCTTGACCAACCAGAAGCCGAAAAGAATCCCCTAGCGGTGGTAGCGAGAAGCAGTTCTGAGCCGATCGATCATCGAAGGTCTCTGTTCGTATATGGTTTTAATAAGTGCGTAAGAGTGAAGTGTAGTAACTCTTTGTGGTTGAAAATAGGGTTCACGTGTTGTTTCATCATGATCATGCAGAAAGATGTGAGAAACGAATGCGCCGCTCAACTCTGTTTTGCGCGGACAGAGTGTGACCGCTTTGACGGCAGATTCCCGGCGCTCGGCGTTTGGCGTAAGGATTATGTCGATCTTTCCGCTAGTCGCACTCTTCCACCATCATTTTGAATGAGCGTGATTGAAACATCACGTGTACCATATTTTCAACCATCGAGAGTTACTCCAATGCAGTTATCAGGTTTGTTTCTCGCGACATCCGCCAGGGTATTATTTCCGGCTTCTGGTTGGTCACATTCGAATTTCTGAAGACGCCCTGGAACACGCCCAGCCCGCTTTCGGCCAATGGCGCCGCTTCATTTGTCTCCTATACTTCCCAACGAATGGCCAAACTCCCTACATATACGGCTCTGGAGGGCGCCACCAAAACATCTCGCCGCCAATACACATAATTCACGGGACGACATTTTGTTGGACGTTGTTCGCAGGGCATGCTCATAACAATGCTCGAGGACAACGTTTTATAAAATTTCAGAAAAAGCGAACACCGCGCGTGCATAGCTTTAATCAGTGCTCAAGGCCCGCGAGCGCACGTGTAGCCACAGCTAGTGCCACTAAATAAGCTACGCTTCAGAGTAACGACACTTGGCCATATTGTGGCTTAAGATCATGGTTGCCTGTTATCTGAAGCTTTATCTGAAATTGAAGAAAACGCTTTTTGCGCCCTCAACAAATCATTAAACAGTTTGCTACAGAGAGAATCAATATCACATAAGCCTCCTAACACCGAATCTAATGCTGAGAAAGTCGCACTTTTGAATCATGACGATCGGCAGTTGCGTCTGCTCTGCACAAGCCCCAAAATGGCGGCGCCCATAACAATGTCGGGGAACGGAGTGCCGATACTCTAAGCGCAGCTCATTTAGTGGCTCAAGCCACAGCTTTGGCTTCACTGCCTGCGGGGAATGCACGAGGATGCACGTTTTACGTCCCATTGCACACAATCCTTGTTCTTAGAAACGATAAGAGCTAGTTCTCAGCATGCGCTGTGAGAAACGTCCATCAAAATGGCGTCCCGAAAATACCCGGGTATTCCCTGAGCGCCATATTTGAGGGCGATGTTTAGAGCGCACGCTCAGAACGAGCTTAATTCAATACGCTGCTGTAATATCGGCCATTTTGATGGTGCGGAGTGCACGTTGCAAAAGAACTGCGGAAGGTCGCCGTCAGCACGCGCTCAGCATTCGCGCACACAGCTATGGCGGCCAGTGAATACTCGTTCACCCTAGTGCCACTAAATAAGCTACGCTAGTTCACCCTTAAACTGAGACTACAGCCAAAGTTGCAAGCGCGAGCCATCCCGCGCTCCTGGCTTTGAAACGGGCTTTTCTTGCGACAGCGCTCGTTCTCCGGGAGAACATGTCAACGCTGCGATCTCGTGGTCACGAGGTTGTAGCCTTCGCTGCAACCTCAGTTTAAGGGTGAAAGGAATATAGCGTCTCAATCGATCGACATTCTACTGGGTGTGTCCAGATAAGGAAAATCATGGGGGTGTCATTTTTGCAATGAAACCTGCATCTGTTGTTAAAGCTCTTGGTGTTTATCTTGATAATGAATTCAGGTTGACAGCTCACGTGTCGCTTATTGTTGCTAGGGCGACAAGAATGTTGGGAGTCATAGCTCGCATTACTCAGCAGTTTCAGAACCCGGCCTCCTTTATTCGTTGATTTAGTGCCCTAGTTAGGTCAAGGCTTGAGTTCGGTTTTGTGGCATTGCATTTGTCATCAAAAACACAGGCAATGACCATTGAAAACGTGCAATAAACGCTAATGCGTGTTGTTTACAATCGATTCTTCTCACGCTGTTTTATTTTTATTATATTTTTCTTCTTAATAAGGTTTCGCTGGTACTACCTATGTGCGATAGAAGAGCAAAGCGCGATTTAGTTTGTCTGTACAAGATTGTAAATAGAGTATTAGGCAGTGACTAGCTTCTACGTGGTGTGAATATTCTCCCCTCCCCGCTCCACTAGCATTCACAGTTCAACCTTCGCACTGTCTCTGAACCCGCTCCTTTGTAACGGACAGAATCTTCTTTTAACTGTATAAAAAATGCCGATATTAATATATTCAGTGACATTATGGTGTTCGTTAAGCAAGTAAAAGTGTTTGGGGACTGATTGTTTTTTTTTTTGTTTTTTTTTTTTTGTTTTATATCGCTTTTTGTCTGAAACCTTCAATTCTGTTTTGGTTTATTTTGCTCCTTATT